ACAGGGTGGTACGAGGGCACGACGTCCACAGGTGGGGGTTGTGCTTACAGCCCAACACCGTGCAGGACTTTTGGCATTTGCCAGAAAACACCAAGATTGTCAAATTCTCCACTGGCGCCCTGTGCTCTTCACAGATGAAAGTACGTTCACACTAAGCACATGTGACAGACGTGACAGAGTCTGGAGACGCCATGAAGAACGTTCTGCTGCCTGCAACATCCTCCAGCATGACCGGTTTGACAGTGGGTCAGTAATGGTGTGTGGTGGCATTTCTTTGGGGGGCCGCACAGCCCTCCATGTGCTCGCCAGAGGTAGCCTGACTGCCATTAGGTACCGAAATAAGATCCTCAGACCCCTTGTGAGACCATATGCTGGTGCGGTTGGCCCTGGGTTCCTCCTAATGCAAGATAATGCTAGACCTCATGTGGCTGGAGTGTGTCAGCAGTTCCTGAAAGACGAAGGCATTGATGCTATGGACTGGCCCGCCCGTTCCCCAGACCTGAATCCAATTGAGCACATCTGAGACATCATGTCTCGCTCCATCCATCGTCACAGACTATCCAGGAGTTGGCAGATGCTTTAGTCCAGGTCTGGGAGGAGATCCCTCAGGAGACCATCCACCACCTCATCAAGAGCATGCACAGGCGTTGTAGAGAGGTCATACAGGCACGTAGAGGCCACACACACTACTGAGTCTCATTTTGACTTGTTTTAAGGACATTACATCAAATTTGGATCAGCCTGTAGTGTGTTTTTCCACTTTAATTTTGAGTGTGACTCTAAATCCAGACCTCCATGGGTTGAAAAATTTGATTTCCATTTTTAAATTTTTGTGTGATTTTGTTATAAGCACATCCAACTATGTAAAGAACAAAGTATTTCAGAAGAATATTTAATTCATTCAGATCTAGGATGTTATTTTTGTGTTCCCTTTATTTTTTGAGCAGTGTATATTGAGGACTATTTCAATACACCTTACACCATATCTTATACAATAGACTGATTTTTTTTATTTATTTTTTGTCGGTTTTAACCTTATTTTTCATTAAAAATTTCATTTAAAAAAATCTTGAATTTTGTCTTATAATTAGAGGATATTTAACTTATCTACTAGTCTCCTTGATTCTTTCTGTCATACTTCAGTTGTAATATCATACCAATTTTACACTTATCACCACTATGCATATCTAAGTGAGTCTATATCTCCTCACCCCCTCCATTATTTCACTCATTTTAGTATATAACATATTGAAATTACATTTTTATTTTATCTTATCTGTGTAAAAGTATTTTACGACCTTTTATTAAATTATTCACGTGGGAGTGTATTGCATTCCTCAACCACCTCTATTTTATACTTCCCTCCTCCTATACTATAAAACTTGTTCCTGAGTGATAACCATCATTATCCGTGATCTTTGCAGTTTCCTCTTACTTATTGTGAATCCGGTAAATGCTTATCTTATATAACTATTTAACCTTTATTATGCTTAGAAAAAATATATAGTGCCCTATTTTTATAATCAAATCTATATAATCAAATTGTAGATTCCCTTACTTGATTATTATCCATATGTATTTAGTGACATCCCCCTACCTATTTTTTATTAAATATAGCCTTTTTAGAATACTACCAAATTATTGACCTTTACACCTTTTTCAAAACGTATAACCGCCCCAAAAAAAAAAAAAAATTGCCCCCCCATCATTAACTTAAGGAACTTTGTAAGTTAGTCTTTTATCTTGCATCCATGCATTTGCTTCTTCCACTGATTTTAATGTTACCGTGTGTCCGTCTGACATTGTCCTTATCGCAGTTGGAAAGCCCAAGATTTGATTTTTTTTTTTTTTTTTAAAGAATATTAGTTACAGATGAATAGCCTTTTCTTTGATCTCTTGAAAAGAAGGAAAAGTCTTGTAGGATTATATTTTTTAATTCATCATCCTTCAGAGAGTGTGACCGACTTAGGCGCAATATGTTTTCCTTAAACTGGAAGTTTAAAATTATGTCTCTTGGCAAATTGTCTGGAATTTATTTTGGTCTAAAGACTCCGTGATCTCTCTCTATATTGACATTAAACTTTATTGAATTGATCTCCCAAGCCAACCCTAATTTGTTAAAAAATTCCAGTATTTTATCTTGAGTAATAAACTCAGGTGCCGTTCGCATGTGCAGGTTGTTTCTCCGTGCTCGATCTATGTCTCCCATCTTGATATCTCTATTTTTTATTTAATTGATTAATAATGTATTCTGTTCTATTAACCAATTTTCTTGAAATTCTAAGTGTTCTAGTTTTTCAACCACTATTTTGACTATCAGCCAATCCCCCAGTTTGTTGCTTTAGTTCTTCAGCTTTGCACTTTATTTGGTTAGTTATGGCTTCTAATTGTTTTTATAATATGAAGAAAAGAAAAAAATCAACCATAATGTGTGTGTCATTTGAGCTGTGTGCACTGCTTGATGAATCCTCTAAACGGGACAATGATAGGGCCGATTCCTAATTTTTTTTCTTTGAGGATTTTATTAACTGGTGGAAAAAAGTTTGGAGCTCCTTTAGTGTCTTTTTTCAGGTCTTGTTTTGCAGTTATCTTTTCCTGAGTCTTTGTTGCCATGTCTTTCTCCCCCAATCCCTCTTCTAGTTACATAGTAGTTACATAGTTACATAGCTGAAAAGAGACTTGCGTCCATCAAGTTCAGCCTTCCTCACATTTGTTTTTTGCTGTTGATCCAAAAGAAGGCAAAAAAAAACAGTTTGAAGCACAATTTTGCAACAAGCTAGGAAAAAAATTCCTTCTTGACCCCAGAATGGCAGTCAGATTTATCCTTGGATCAAGCAATTATTACCCTACATTGAAAGATTATATCCTTGAATATTCTGTTCTTGCAAGTATGCATCTAGTAGCCGTTTGAACATCTGTATGGACTCTGATAAAACCACTTCCTCAGGCAGAGAATTCCACATCCTGATTGTTCTTACAGTAAAAAAACCTTTCCTTTGCCTTAGACGAAATCTTCTTTCTTCCAGTCTAAACGCATGGCCTCGTGTCCTATGTAAAGTCCGGTTTGTGAATAGATTTCCACACAATGGTTTGTATTGGCCCCGAATATATTTGTATAATGTTATCATATCCCTCTCAGGCAACGTTTTTCTAAACTAAATAGGTTTAAATTTGTTAACCTTTCTTCATAGCTGATATGTTCCATTCTTTTATTAATTTTGTAGCCCGCCTCTGCACTTTTTCTAGTGCCATAATATCCTTCTTTAGAACAGGTGCCCAAAATTGCACAGCATATTCAATATGGGGTCTTACCAGTGATTTATAAAGAGGCAAAATTATATTCTTGTCCGAGAATGAATGCCCTTTTTCATGCATGACAATACCTTACTGGCCTTGGCCACTGCTGATTGACATTGGACATTGTTGCATAGTTTGTTGTCTATAACAATTCCCAAGTCCTTTTCATGTGTTGTTATCCCTAATTCGCTTCCATTAAGGGTATACGTTGCTTGTGTATTCTTTACGCCGAAGTGCATAACTTTGCATTTTTCAACATTAAATTTCATCTGCCATTTGAGTGCCCAGTCTCCCAGTCTATCTAATTCCCTCTGCAGCAAAGTAATATCTTGCTCACATTGTATTGTTTTACAAAGTTTTGTGTCATCTGCAAACACTGAAACATGACTTTCAATGCGGTCTTCAAGATCATTTATAAGCATGTTAAATAGAAGGGGTCCCAGAACAGACCCCTGAGGGACACCACTTGCCACCTCTGTCCAGCTTGAAAATTTACCATTAATGACAACTCTTTGTACTCTGTTTTTAAGCCAATGTTCTACCCAAGAACAAGCATTTTCATCAAGACCGATTTCCTTGAGTTTGAACACTAATCTATTGTGTGGAACTGTATCAAATGCCTTGGCAAAATCCAAAAAAAAATCACATCCACGGCAACACCCTGATCTATACTTCTACTTACATACTTTCTAGCATTTCTCCACTTTGTCTTGAAGTTTCCTCTTGCTTTTTCCCTTCTTCTCTCCCCCTATTTTTTTGTTGTGATACTAGTTTAAATCAGAGCTTCTTATTACGATTTTACAAGGTTTTCTGGCGAGGGAGTGTATTGATGAAATGTTTAAAAAAAGAAACGGACACAGCCTCTATTCTTGCTATGTTTCAAGCTCTCCCTTCTCCCAGTGGTCTCACCTTGTACTCAAGACCCTTTACCACTTCCCATATTTAGGGGGTATATTTCAATTTGGGTAGGGAGGGGGGGATATTACAAGGCACCTGCTACTTCGGCGATCCCCTTCCTCCGGTTTTGCGCTCCTTGATTTTCAAATTCCCTTCAGCTCTCCTCTTTCTCTGATCTACGTTCCAGTGACTATGCTATTTAGTATTTGTCTACATTGGGGTATGGAGTCCTCCTGTCAGCAAATCCAACCTCTGTTCGTAGCTTTCTCTACGCTGGACCTCCACAGTCCGCCCCTGAATGCGTGCATGAACATCAGCTACATCACCTAAGTCATTATGCGTTACCTACCTCAAATGTATTTTTAATCTGAATTTAAAGGTTTGCTCCACCAAATAAAGTTTAAATAAAATGTATTAGTATACCTGGAGTTTTTTCTGCACCGGTCTCCACCTTCTCTGGTGTAGAAAGTTCATGCAAGGAGCTGCACAGCTGGCTAAGCTCAGCGGAAGAGCACCTGGCAGCATTATGTTGGATCCTTGTAAATTATCAAATTGTTCTTAACATGATTTGTACTTGCTCTAAAAGGGCATTATGGCAGTCCAGGTACTATAACCATTACAGTGGCTACTAGTGGTCAAGGTGCTTGAAGTGTTTCTTTAAAAAATAAAAAATAAAAAGTAAAATGCTATATTAAGATGCCAGGAACCGATACAATCTGTACATCAAAGAAGTTTATGAAATTGAGCCAAAAAAAAAAAAAAAAGTGTTTATTAGAGGGTTTATTATGAAAAGAGACAAAAATCTACCCAGGTTATTATAAATAGACTTTATTGAAGCCAATACCTCAATATTGAGGCTGATGGTTGGATTTTCATATGCACAAGTTGTAACATTTCAAAATTTCGAAAAGGAATGTCAACAGTTACAACAACCATGCAGAACATTGTCTGATCACATATTAGAAGCATTTTACATTTCTTAAGAAATGCGTATAACAGTTATATATAGAACTACTTCCAATAAACTGCAACACATTGATCGACATTTCCAGTACAATCTACTGTGTCAACACAAAGGGGAGAGACAAAGATTTCATTTACCAAATGTAATATTTACTGTTATGAACGAAAAATTAAAAAGCTTTTCAAATAAAGGCCATCTTCACATAGAAACCAATGCAACCATTACTCTCATACCCTTCCTCTGCTGGAATGACCAGCCTAAAATTACAGATCTCAGTACTGAGAATATTCTTTTGTCTGAAATTTGGCAATAATGCGCTCAAGCTGCCTCTTTGCTTCACACTGGGGAAAGTTGCTCATATCATAGTACTGGGCTGCAATTTTCACCAACCTTAAAGAAAAAGCAAAGCAGAGAAAACCGTTAAAAAAAATAAATAATACAATTTTAATTCAGGTGCAAATGCCAAAGTATATACCACTATAGTACAGTAAGAGTTAAAGGGACAAAATATGCACCAAAACAACTTTAGCTTAATGAAGCAGTTTATGTGTATAGACCATGCCTCAAGTGCCACTGCTTAACCCCTTAAGGACCAAACTTCTGGAATAAAAGGGAATCATGACATGTCATGTGTCCTTAAGGGGTTAATTGCTTGTTTTGGTCGATGCAGCCTTAGCCACACCTCCCCTGGTTGTGACTCATACAGCTTGCATAAAATGTTTCATGTCCAATCAGATGTTAATTTACTTAAGAATTTATTCCCTGCTGTGTAAATTGAATTTTAATCACAACCAAGAGGTTCCTGCAAGGTCTAGCAAGCTATTATCAGAGCACGATTTAGGTAAATCTAAATTAAAAAACAGAATATGCAATAAAGTATAAATATTAGATCTCACTTTACAGGAAGTATTTAGGCTGTTCAAGTCACATGCAGGTGTGACTAGGGCTGCATAAACAGTGAATTAACTCCTAAATGGCAGAGAATGGAGCAGTGAGACTACAAAGGCTTTAACAGTTTGGTTAATATTTAACCAAAATAAATAAAGACACAGGAAGCATCAAGTATCAACGAGCACTAGCAATCAATGGTTTCAGCAGATAACATCTTAACTATATTTAGCACTTTTTTTTTATTTTTAATTGTATAATGGACTAGTTGTAAATGAGAACCTACAACAGATTGAGCTGCATTAAATGTATAATAAAAACCATCAACACTGGGATAGAAATCTTAGATCTCTAGGTTATCGAACGTGACCATATGTGACTTGTCACCAAGTCAACTGTGTCATTAAAATGTAATTAAACAGCTATCCTATGACAACATGGCTCTATTTTGTAAAGAGAGTTGTTGAAATAAAAGAGTTTGGCATCATTACCATCCCCTGGGAAGAAAGCAGAGAGACTGGCCAGAGTCTGACCGGGAAAATGTATTGCCTTATTGCAAAGAGTAGTATAAGTGAGGTTCGTGGTTTGATTATACAGGTGAGCAGTCGGCAAGAATGATCCACATACTTTACATAATGCTCTTGTTTCATATTTTGTCCAATATTCTAAGTAATAAGATCTATCAGAGGCTGTAAAATAAAGAGCTAATGCAGCATACAGGAAGACCTTCATTATAAAGCAAAGAGACTGCAGGGTGAAAACAACTAAAGGAAGATATGCAGGACAAGTTTCTTTGCAAAATGGTTCTCAAACCAAACCTCAAGAAGAAACAAATGTTCAGGTTTCAAGGTTATCAAAAATCTAACCTACTAAGAACACTGATGAAGATCTCCTTGAAGACAAGTTTTAAAGGTGCTGCTTTATTGAGCTGCTGACAAGTTAAGAATTTTAAGCAGCAATTGAGGTTGTTTTTCTTTTTTTTACATGTTCATAAAAAAAAAGTTAATGGATAATTACATTTCAAACTGATCCTCATTTTGTATTATGTCATTCCAGACCATGTGAGCTTTTTATGTTATGGTAATGACGTTTCCTTACAAAATTACTCTTTACGTGAATTACAGAGAGACACTAAAACTAAAACAAAAAAAACCAAAAAAAACAAAAATTCGCATTTATTTAACCCCTTAAGGACACATGACGTGTGACATGTCATGATTCCCTTTTATTCCAGAAGTTTGGTCCTTAAGGGGTTAAGCTAATCTGTTACCTAAATAAAGCAAAAAATGGCAGCTATGAAACCATTATTGCTTATTTCTGCTGCCCAATGGAAAAACCTCAACAGAAAAGGCAGCTGAGTACAATAAACTTTAACAGATAACACTTCTCAAAAACACACCAACAGGATTAATTACAAAGTAGTAACGTTTGGGAATTTCAGCAGTGATAGTTTAGGCTCAAATAACCGAACTGCAGGTCAGCTCCAGACAATTCACAGTGTACTGAATAACACTGTAAATATGGTCTATGCAGCACTATATGTAAGGAAATAGTCTCAGAGATTATAATGTATTAAACACTATACTGCTGCCAATGTCATGGAGGATGCGGAGCCAAAAAGTTGGAGACAACTGAAGCAAGGAAAGAGTCAAAAGAGCCTAAATATCTGTATCTTTCATACCATAATGATGGTATGGACATCTGAAAAGGGAGGATAAAACCCTATAAGATCTTAATCACTACTCATGAGTGCTATGATACAAGAGAGCAATACATACCATTCAGGCTTTATATCTGTGCACGTGCGGATGTAGTTCTTGGTTGTGAGTACAAATTCGTTGTACAGTACCCACTCAGGTTTGTGATCAAGAACAGTGGAGGGATGTAACTGAACAACTTGGTTGTCCTTCACTGTTAGGTAATGGCCAGTTCTCTCCAAATGTGCCACCTAAAAAAAGATGAAAATATAAACATGTAATTAAGGCAAAGTAATAATCATTTTGCCCATATACAATTTGCAAGCAGAAAAGGCCTCCATGCATCAATGCATAGGAGGAAGAAAAAGAGTGGCGTGAAAATAAATATGTAAACACAGAATTAACCCCCCACCCTCCAAAAATAAATAATTAAATTAGCACGGCTCTGTTTTGCAGAGTAAGTGTTATATCAGACAATTTTGTTTGCATGTATTCTTTAAATGTACATCTGCAACGAAAAAATGCTGAAACATGAAGTGGATCTTTAAACACATGACTGAAATATAGGATCAATATCTCAGTACTGAGTAATTCTGACAGCCCTTCTAGATGTAGGTGACAGGTTAGCTATAAAAAAAGGGCGGCACCAATTCGGTAGAGGAAACATACGTATTTTTCTTAATAAGTTTTTCTGAATGCACTGTCAATTGTCTGACCATTCTCAGCTAATCAGTAGCGCCACTACCGGCCAGCTACAGTTTGAAAGTTTTTCCGCAAATGGAAGTACAGTGGGACAGAAAGGTCTGACGATTGAGCACAGACTTTAAATCTTTCATACATGGTTTAACCCCTAGGTGAGGTGAGTCAGTGTCAGGGATCTCCAGGCACCATATCTTCATTTCAATGAGTTTGTAATATTCCCCAGAGTGCTCCTTTAAATAGAGAATTCCAGTGCAAAAAACAAGTTATTGCTAAGTTTCCCCCTTTATGATATTGTAAAGCACTGAGGAATAAGCTAGAGCAACATATATAATAATAGAGCCGTCTTACGATTTCAGGTTCACTTCTTACACTGGCAAATAGGATTTTCACAAAACTTTGTCATATTCTTTATTTTTAATTATAGCCCTTTTCGGAATTCACCCTTTGATGTATGCATTGTTTAAAGAAAATAAACTTTGCTCATGTGGTTAAATAATGACACTGCATCAAAAACGCTTTCTAGTTATCGAGGTCAATGGCAGTTTAAGGTCAAAACACATAAATACAACAAGAAACACAGCCCAATGCATATTTGTCTATCAGATTGATGTGCATTCTGTAAAAGAACTCCATATTTCTCAAAAACCAGAAGTGTCATATTTGACATTGCGCCATATGCAAGAGTCAACATGCACCTCAGTGGTTAATTTCCTCATAAAGATCAGTAGGGAGGCCAAAATCCATTTATGTTGAGTTAATTGCTTGTACTTTCTCAGGTCCCTCCAGTTTTCACACATGAATTCCTAAAAGACCTTGTTATATGATTTGAGTGAATCTCATAACAGCTTATGCAATTTATTTCCCTTTTGAGCTCACCAGCCTCAAAACCCTGAGATTCAGAGTCTCTTACTTCCATAAGAAAAAACACATACCTGCATGAAATAACCAGTAACCAAAGCTTTTCTAATATTAATGTAATAATCACGGCTTGTGAAGTCTGTGCTTCTACGTGGCAAGTTAAATCTGTCCATGATTCGTGACAGCTGCTGCCGTACATTGTCTGCAGACATCAGGGACCGGTAGTTAATGAAGTTGTCATAACACCACTGAGACGATTCATGATCTGGAGGAAGAAGAAATTAAACATGATCATGTAGGTATCACATGAAAATGTAACAAGCAAAACTGTTTTTGAGATACACTATGTAAGACTTTTCTATGCATCAGAATTATACAATTCCACATACTCTTGATAATTTGTAGCACTGCAAATAATGACGACCAGGTGTTTATCCTAGCAAATAACTGCACACAGCTCTTGTTTATTTATAATAGACAAATGGCACTTTTCTGACAGACTATGCCACCTAGAGAGGTGGGCACTCCAAACGTAAACAATATAAATCATCCAGCAACCCAGCACAGTTATACACCACACATGGGCAATGGAGGACAAAATAAATGTATTATTCTATACAAGAAATAACACGAGGTTGCGCGACTTATGCTTTTAATGTGTTTTTGTTTTAGATCTGTGCATGAAAGGACATATTACGGTTATACTATTTAGTTCACTTAAAATAACATTTGTGCATTTGCTCACTGAGGCATATTATTATTACTGGTATTTATATAGCGCCAGCATATTCCGTAGCGCTTTACAATATTATCAAAGGGGGGAGATTTAACAATAAATGAGAATTACAAAAACTTAGCTTACAGTCTATAGGAGGTGGGGTGTAAAACACAACAGGACAGGAGGTAGCAATCAAACAAGGTGGAGTGGGGGGCAGGACCTGACCTGCAAGCAGAGCAGTCGCATGGTGGACGAGCTCCCACCACACAAGCTGTTTACAGGGAAATACTAGCAGATCTCATGCCTGAATTGATGCCGGGGTGCGCTTCCCATGCTGGGGACGCCCTGGTAAATCACCCGACACCGGACTCAAGTGCTTCCCGCAAGCGAGAACCCAAAGTGGCAGGCTGTGGCCTGGTGTTGACGGAGCAGAGGGGAGACTGCCGCTCCCCTCGCCCCTGCGCCAGAGGTACTGAGCCGCCGACTACCCGCTCCCGCTCTCCCCCCGGTGATTCCGGTCCAACCCTTCCAGGCAGCAGAGCTACAATGCGAGTTGACAGCAGAGCATACAGGGCAGCCTCATGCTACACGGGCTCATACAATGGCAGATGCCACGTGCGTTCAAAACTGCCACACAGACAGGCTCAGCATCATGGCCAAACTCGAAGCCATTCTCTACGCTGCATGGGCACGAATGGCAAGCAAGGAGAGACACACCAAAGCACCAGTGCACAGACCCAACAAAAAACCCACACATACCAGCCACGACCGCACTGGCCCTCGCCTGACGGAACCTAAAAGATAGCGCCGAAGACGGAGACCCCACCTGCTTAAACACAAACAGGCATGATCAAGCCACGCCGCAACCCCAGCCCGAATTGGCCCACAATCTCACCCCAGATCCTGCATGAAGCGGAGATACGAACAGCAACCAGCAACAGGCAAGCTTCCCTCACAGCTCCGATCCCACTCGACACAGCGGAGAGCCCCAGAGATCCCACTTACCTGCATCAACAAAGCAGGCTCCCACAGCGACGGGCAGACGAGGCAGCAACTGGAACCCACGAGGCTGCACCTTGCTGTGCCTCAGCAGGACTCTCAAACACCCTTCAAAGCGCTGGGTATGTGCCGACAGAGAACTCACTGACCGGAACACAGAGGTACAAGCCCAAAGCCTCTAATACAATAGATGCTGTCTATACAACACTGAAACCTCTTGAACAGAGACTTTCCGACGACATAGAACTTTAACGAAATATTCACTGTTTATCCTTGTTAATTGTTTAGCAATCTCACAATATTCATCTCACACTTGCATAGGGTCTTACTGCACGAATCAGCAATACTCCCAAATAGCTTGTCACCTATTAACATAACGACATACCTGCCTGCCTGGCAATTCTCATGTTTATTTCTTCTATTTATTTTGTTATAACCATCCACATGTCAAAGTTTATTGTATAGGATATCGCCTTATATACTCCTGACATGTTTCGATAAGCCTGTTGTATTATTACGTAAGACACGTTGAACAAGCCTGTGACTACACAAGTAAACCTAAAAATGTATGCAGTGATTACCTAATGAGCGCTCTCTATAAGTTACAAGCGAACCATATATCAGCATGTTCTCTCTTGTTCAAAAAAAAAAAAAGTGTGTGTGACCATCTCATACCATGACACTGTATATTTCTGTACGATAATGCACTGCTTGTTAGCGCTGTCGTGGTGCTGCGAGCATATTGTTCTCCTCTTCACACAACAAAAATAAAGAATTATAAAAAAAAAAAAAAAAACAAGGTGGAGTGCATAGCACAGCTCTTATCCAGATACATGTACTATATATTAAAGTTTTCTTTGCATCGTACAGGAGATAAGTAGGCTACACTTTTCCTGTTTTTACAGGAGTTTATGAAAACTAAAGAAACCCAGCATTATGCATCCTATGGAAATTTGAATAAACATTTATTTTTCAAAGCACAGCTGAATGCAGCTCAACTCTGGAAAGTACCAGGTACAGTAATGATTTACAGAAAACAAGCTCATAAAATGAGAGTAAATCAAATGTCAGTAAATCAAAATCTGACAATTAATTGGCACAAAGCAAGGGGCAAGTATAGGAAATAAATACACTTTGTACTAAAATGCAAATCTGTAAACAAAATAAGTGCCAAGTGTTTAAGTGTTATGGACCGTACCACCTCCCCTGCAGTCCTACAACATGTCACTGCTTGCCTTTCTTCAATCTCTGCTTGGATGTCCTCCTGCTTTCTGAAACTCAATCTGTCTAAAACCGAGCTTATTTTTCTCCTCATAATGCTGATCCTCCTTCACTTTCCCTGCAAGTTGATGGTCGTTACATCAGTTCATCCTTGCAAGCTCGTTTTCTTGGTGTTCTTTTATCCTGGCCTCACCTTTGCACCTCAATCAAGTATGTTGCTAAAACCGGTCGATTACACTTTAAAAACATTGCCCGCACCCACCCCATTCTTAGCAAGATGCTGCCAAGGAGCTTGTTCATGCTCTGGTAATCTCTCGCATGGATTACTGTAATTCTCTCCTAGTTGGTCTCCCCAGAAGCCGAACTGCCCCCCCAGGGTAGCTTCTATGCCACATATCTGTCTCTTGCTCTCTCATAAAGAGCCACAACTCCACACTCACCCCCAGTTCTGCTACTTTTCCACCTTGTTTGGTAGATGTCCCACCTTGCTGCCCCCTACTGTGTTTTTGTACCCAACCTATTCTAGACTACAAGCTCGTTTACTGTGTTTTTGTACCCCACCTCCTCTAGACTATAAGATCGTTTGAGCAGGGTCCTCATCTACCTATTGTTTCTGTATCATTGTGTAATGGTCTCATTTATTGTACAATTCCCCCCCCACCCCCCCTTTGATAATATTGTAAAGCATTGCTGAATTAGTTGGCGCTATATAAACACCAATAATAAACAATAACGGCATAATTAACCCCTTAAGGACAGAGCTTCAAAAGCTTGTCTTTCACTTAATGACAACGGCATTTTTTTTCAATTTTTTGCTGTTTGCGTTCAACTGCAATTTGCATTTTACTAATTTGTTGCACCAACACATATTATACATCGTTTTTTAAAGGACAGAAAGGGCTTTAATTTGATGTAACACACATATATATAAATGCTTATTTATTATAAAAAAATACAGAAAAATGTAAAAAAAATGAAAATTTTGTGGTTTTTTTTTACAGTTTTTGCAATAATAATGTGTGCATAATTAGTGCAGGTTAAGAAAAGTAATTAAAAATAAATTAATTTAGTTGTTCTGATTTACAGAATATACAATGTGTCTGGGATTTAAAGTTTTTTTTGGTAGTTACAGGTCACAAAGCACAAGGAGTAAAATAGACTTTTAATGTGGAGCGATTTTAGAATTTGGTATGTTTGTCTTGTAAGCCTAATAGCCATAAAAGAAAACAAAATTGCCACACAAAAGTATATATTTATATAAAGTAGACATCACGGGCTATTTACCTAAGGTTGTTTTGACACTTTCTACGTAGCCATTTCACCGCCAACCTCTGCTAAATATTGGAGTAAAATTGTGTTTTTTTTGGTTTTTGGCACACAAACTTATAACAAAGAAATTCTCGTGTATATTTTGTAAAGTTGGTGTGTGCTATTCCTGTACAAAGTTTTATTTTGTGTTCAGTTACATCTGCTGAGTAAAACGACACCCCATTGTATGTCTTTGCCACTATTTTGTGAAGTTACAGTGCCACACAGGATACCTGTCCTTTTCAGTATTCACAGTAGAATTTTGAGAGATGGATTTAATGAGCCTTAGCTTCCATTTGGGGTATTATGACAGTTTGACTGTTCAAAAAAACCCCACAAAGGCCTACTATTTGTAAAAGTAGACACTCCAGGGTATCTCATAAGGTGCATATTGTGCCTTAACATGCCCCCATTTTTTCACCAATATATGCCAAAGTATGTGGTAAAAAATAATTTTGTGCATTTTTTACATACGGATTGCATTTTTGCTGGGCGTTTTGTATATTTCATATGTGCCACTAAGTTCAAACCCCCCAAATTATGCTCAGCTAAGTCTTCTGAGTAAAATGACACCCCATATGAATGTCTTTGGCACTATTTCGTGAAGCTACAGTGCCATATAGGAGACCTGTCCTTTACAGTATTCACAGTAGAATTTTGAGAGATGGATTTAATGAGCCTTAGCTTCCATTTGGGGTATTATAACAGTTTGACTGTTCAAAAACCCCCACAAAGGCCTACCATTTGTAAAAGTAGACACTCCAGGGTATCTCATAAGGTGCATATTGTGCCTTAACATACCCCCATTTTTTCACCAATATATGCCAAAGTATGTGGTAAAAAAATTATTTTGTGCATTTTTTACATACGGATTGCATTTTTGCTGGGCGTTTTGTATATTTCATATGTGCCACTAAGTTCAAACCTCCCAAATTATGCTCAGCTAAGTCTTTTGAGTAAAAATACACCCCCAATGAATGTCTTTGGCACTATTTTGTGAAGCTACAGTGCCATATAGGAGACCAAGCCATATCCGTTTTTACCAAACTTTGAATTTTGACGCTGGGCCTATGTGCAATTTCCAAGCATCTTCGCAGGTTTTAAATTCAAACTACCCCACAAAGGCCTACCATTTCTTAAAGTAGACACCCCAGGGTGTTTCAAAAGGTATATTTTGAACCTTAGCGTGGGATCATTTTTCCGCTAGCTTGTACCAGATGTAGTGGTAATAAGCGTTTTTTCGGCCTTTTTGACATACAAAGTGAATTTGCACAGTATATTTTGCAAACCTTATGTGTGCTACGACTGTATAATACTTCATATGTTGCTCAGCTATGTCGGCTGAGTACAGCAATACCCCTGTATGTACCTTTGCCAGGTATGTGTGGACATCGGAGGGGCACATTTGGGACACAGCCATTCCAGTTTTTTTTCAAACTTTGAATTTTTATGCTGTGCCTATGTCCCATTTTAGAGTATTTTACCAGGCTATATAATCCAAATACCCCATAAAGCCATACCATTTCTTAAAGAAAACATCCCAGGGTATTTCAAAAGGCATATTTTGAACCTTAGCGTGGGATCATTTTTCCGCTAGCTTGTACCAAGTATAGTGGTAATAAGCATTTTTTCTGCCTTTTTGACATACAAAGTGAGTTTGCGCAGCATATTTTGCAAACCTTATGTGTGCTATGACTGTATAATACTTCATATGTTGCTCAGCTATGTCAGCTGAGTACAGCAATACCCCCGTATGTACCTTTGCCAGGTATATGTGGATGTTGAAGGGGCGCATTTGAGACGCAGCCATTCAGTTTTTTTCTAACTTTGAAGTTTTACGCTGTGTCCATGTTCCAATTTGGAGTAGTTTAGACGGTTGGTTATTGAAACTTCCCACAAACACATACTATTTATTAAAGAATACACCCTGGGGTAATTCAAAAGGCATATTTTGAACCTTGGCGTGGGATAATTTTTTCTCTAGTTTGTTCCAGGTGTAGTAGTAATGAGCGTTTTTAAAATGTATTTTTTTACTTTTTATAACTTTTTTACTTTTAAAAACTAGTTTTTAAACTTTTGTTTTGCTTATAAATTTTTTTTAAACTTTCCTAAACTTTCTTAAAACTTTTTACAGATTTAACATTTTTCTAAGCTTTTTTTTTTACCGTTAACCCCTAACTAGCAGTACGCAGCACTAACAGTAAATTCCCCATTTTCCCATAACTCCCACCCACCCCAGCTAGCAAAATACATAGTTATAAAATATTTAAATTAAGTTAATGAACCCCTGGGGTTAAAAAATAAATAAAAAGTTAATCCTCAGGGGTTAAAAAAAATTAGATCACAGTATAATACTGTGATCTCTATTTGATCGCTGTAGGCAGTGATCGACTGGCAAGGAAGGGGTTAATTTTTATTTGGACTAGGTAAAGGGTTTTTTTTTTTAAAAAATTTTACTTAAACATTATTAAAACATTTTTTTAAGCTTAATTTTTAACTTTTTAAAGTTTATTTTAAAACTTTTTTAACGTTAACCCCTAGTTAGCCTAATGCCAAATCCCCCAATTCCCCACTAACTTCCACCCACCCCAGCTAGCTAAATATATAATTTAAAAATATTTTAATTAATTAATTAAATTAATTTAACCCCTGAAGGTTAAAAAAAAAAAAGAATTAACCCTCAGGGGTTAAAAAAAAATATCAGATCATAGTAAAATGTAATCCCTGCCAATTGATCACTGTAGTCAGTGATCAATTGGCAGGGAAGGGGTTAATTTTTTATTAAAATGGGTAAGGGGGGGGGACACTTTAAATTAACTTTATTTTTATTTTTTTCAGCAGGGGGCAGGATCATCACTGATCCGGCTCCCTGCACTTCACACAGAACCCGGAAGTGCAGGGAGCCGGTAGGTGAGTATACAGAGCACATGTGCTCGCTCAGACTTGCGGTCAGAGCGAGCACATGTGCTGGGCAGCCTGACCGGGTGCTCCCGGTATGCCTCTAATGCAGAGGCATACCGGAGCACCATTAACCCCGCGATCGCGGCGATCTGGGGTTAATTTTACTGCGTGACGGACGATGTCTGTCACTCGTCGTTAAGGGTCTCCCCTCTGTGACGGACCTCGTCCATCACTCGTCCTTAAGGGGTTAAAATGGTCAAGTTAAGCTATAATAAAATTAGTAACAGTGGAGCTCTTTCAGTGGAGATCTTTCATTCTTACTATTTTTTTATTAAAGGCATAGCGTTTGATACACAGGATACATAGCTAGCACAAAAATCAGAAAACAGCATTTGTGTACATAGAAGATTTCTCCTATTTATTAATCTTTGAAGTAACACTGGGGATTAAGTAATAAAGGAGACCACATAATTTCTATTATCCAGTAATTGCTTCAAATGTGTTTAGAAAATTAACCATATGGCAATTCAGTTCTGTAACACACATTAGGTGTAACATGAATAAACACTAGAGAGCAAAAAATGGGTCGCAAGAGTATTCTGAGGACGGACAGCAGCTAAAATAGCCTGCCCTTCAGTGGATCCCCACTCAGAACTCAAGCTGGTTTTAGCTCAACTTGTGCCATTACAGAGAGAACATATCTGAAGCATATCAGACTGGTCCCACCAATACGGGCATTTTCTTGCTCTCCATTAGTTTAAAGGGTAATCCAGACGTGGACCCCTTGCTCACGGTGCCTAGAGAGATATCAGCTATGCCTCACTGACGATGCCTAACAAGGCTGAAACGATCGTCTGGGGTTGCTGTTTCTCTCGTGCAGACAGAACTTGCTGGCATTTCGGATCTGGACTGCCCGTATGGGTGGAACCAGTCTGATATGCTTCAGATATGTTCTCTCTGTAATGGCACAAGTTGAGCTAAAACCAGCTTGAGTTCTGAGTGGGGACCCACCGAAGGGCAGGCTATTTTAGCTGCTGCCCGTTCTCAGAATACTCTTGCGACCAATTTTTTGCTCTGCATGAATAAACACTATTCAAGTAGCCTGCTCACTGTTATTGCACAAGTACCTGCTAGTAGTGGGAATGCAAAATCCTTAGTCCATTTGAACTACTCTACTCCTGTCCTTATATGCCCAATACTCATCTGTTATTCTATGAAATATAAACTAAGAGCAATAAAACGAACATCAAATACTTGGTACAAGCTTTGGGGTGGAGGTGAAGGTAAAAAGATTTTTATTTTTGCAATATTAAACAGATCCAACTTAACAGTGTAGATCAGAGATTCATTGTTAAATGTTTAAAAGTTCACATCAGTTCAAACTTGTGTTTAATGCAATAGAATAAAACACTTACTTTGTTTAAAAGCGTGATACACGTTCAGCAGCGTCAGATGATCACCATCTATGTGGGCAAACCTCATCTTGGATTCATCTGCAGCTTTCTTGACTTCCGTGGGTCGAATAAAACACTGTGGGACTAAACAAGGTTGGTATGGGCCCAACACAAATGCCCATATCGATGAGTCACGCATTCACTGATAGAGGAACAAGGCCTAGCTAGGTCAGTTCACAGAGCATAGGGCAGGGCAGGATGGGCCTCCAACTGCATCTTGGACTGTTTACTACCTTTGTTTGGTACATCAACACCTAACCACATCTGTAAGACAAGAGGGTTTCAAAACTACAGAGCACCAGTTTATATTTGCTTGAACTAAATTAAGGCACCGACATGACAGCCATCAAGGGAACAACTACCCTACATCAGGTTCACCAAGATTTCAAGGATCTACAACGGCTGCCTCATCAAAATCAAATGGCAACCAAGTACATTTCATGCAATAAATTCATTTAAAATTAAAAAAAAAAAAAAATATATATATATATATAAACTACAGAAATTCCTAAAAAATAAATAAAAAATAACCACAAGCAAAACGTGTTGCCACTAATGGTCATTTTTAATTAGCTAAATGCAAATACTTTAACAGCTACGACTGTGGGGTGAAAGTAGTAGCGGACATTTACAGGTGCAAACAAGACAGATAATTGCAGCAATTTAATTCCTTATAGTCATTTGATCCAGTAATTTCTAAATCTTTGAACGTTTAGATGGGGCAATGTTTTACACAGAATAAGTAAACTGTAGCTTTTAGAATATGTATGGACATATAAGTAACTGGGGATAAGCTGTATAACTTTGGAACTTCTAGGGGTTTCCATACATTACGTCCAATATGATGGAAGTTGAAAAGTCTAAAAGATTAAGATTTAATTGGTAGCAGCGAATGCGTATGACAAGCAATGCATAAATGTGTTAGTTGCCAGGTTTATCTGCAGCAGGCCAATAATTGTTGCCAGTTTATAAAGGACTGTTCATCAGAATAAACCGCAAGTGTTATTTACCTAGATTTAATATTTAAATAAAATTTTACCAAGGATCATTAACGGCATCTCACTGATCCTTAGTGAATACAACTGCTGGTATACAGTACATTGTCCAGTGTTCCGGGATTTAATGCATCCATGAAGTTTTGGTCTGCATTTATATGCTTGAGTGAACTTTATGCACCATTTGCTGTCTGTCAAGTTTTCAACCATAGCTAGCGTTTGGGATGCTGGCTGTTGTGGACTGGCTTTCCCCATTATGATCTGCCAGAAAACAAGCTAATCAATATGGGAAAGGTTGACCACGACCTGGCATGCCGAAGGCTATCAAATCACTGAATTGAAATAAAGAGAGGTAATATGAACACTAGACTACTACCACCACCACAGAAAAGCTGCATCAGTGATTATACACACTGCCCTGCCCATCTGCTCTGAGTCTGAAGTATTGGAAAGATATAGCTTGAAAACACATTTTACCACTCATTTTGAAGTCTATATGTAGTCAAACAGGTTAACAATTGGAAATCGCATTAAACATTTACTGACAAATTTTCAAGACATTACCACACTAAAGATACAATTACTTCTGATTCTGGCACTCAAACCTATCAGAAGGAGACGCAATAATAGGAAGTTGTCACCAAGAGGTTTAGGAGAATGATACTGTAAAAAGATACGCACAAGTTGGTGTGTGGTGTATAAAGCAAACAAAATTATGCATCTGTCCAGGGCCTAACCTTTATATTATAGAAAGTGATATACATATGGTCTTTAATAACCAAGACAATTGTGGGTACATTTTTTTTTAATGGAGTAGAGTAGGAACTCGTAACTGCTAAAATTTGGGGTGATAACCTCTGTAGGATACAGACTAGTTTAGATAAAATATTGTTGCTGCTTCTAAAGATACATTAGGCTTCTTTTAGATCATGGACCTTTCAGTCTGTCTCACACAGACAAATTGATGAACGGTAAACAAGAGAAAGATAAACAAAGAATGTATTTTCAATAAGAAGCAGACTCGCCCTCAAAAGATTTACATGAAATGATTAAACAGCAATTAAAAATTAAAATGTGTTTCTTAATTGCCATGTGTAATTGCATGGTTAGTGTTCTGAACAATGTATTCCGTAAGAGCATAAATTACTTTAACACTGCCTTAACTACAGTCTACCTTAGGGTTGCTCTATTGATCTCTCCATTTGATGTGAATTTTCCTAGCATGTTGTGCAAATTGCAAATGATGTTAAGAAAAAAAATGCTCCATTTGAATGACAAAGTTTAACAAGAACCATCGAATGGCAATATTTTGCAACATATGTTATCAAGCTTTTTTCAGCTTAACAACAGTCCAAATGAAAATGGACACTACAGGCGTGCTACATACAAAAAAATGTTTAACTGGTGTGTTGCAACATACCCATTACATGATTATGGTTGCAATCGTCCAATGGGCAACAAAGCGTTCGTTTTTTTTTTTTTAAACCAGTACTTTTTTTTCCCACTCACCACTATTTAAGTGTGAATTGTTGGAAATTTTAAGTGAATTTCAAGTTTTGGGCCAAAACAGAATCTGACAACTTAAAAGCCAAGTTCTCTCTGACTGTACTGGCCCAAAGGTTGAAATTCACTTTTAATACAAATTTGCACAATACATGCTTTAGTGGGTACTCAGACATGACATACACACACACACACACAAACTATATAATTCCATATATATGTTGATAAATATACACACTGTGAAAAGAGTTTCCTTTTGATGGAAAGACTTTTAAAAGTATGTTCCCTGCTATTACCTGACAGCATGGCTGTTATAGATAGGATCTCATTAGAACAATTGTATTCACAACTTGCGATAACCATCTTGGCTAACTGTGGGTCCAGAGGAAATTCTGCCATCATTGACCCCAATTCAGTAAGGTCTCCATCATCATTTAAGGCAGATAGATAATTCAAAAGCTCCAGGGCTCGCATTAATGTTTCAGGGGCTAAAAAATAAATAAAAACACATTTTAAAAATAAAATTAAATATTCCAGTCACTGCTTTATTGGAAAAAAAACACCACAAAACACACAACCCAAAAAGAATGGTATAAGAAGTTTTGAGGTAGAATGGAGAAAATGTCTGTATTCATAACACTAGTAACAAATCCGACTGCACATATTTTCTTCTTTTTAGACATCAAGTGCCCTATTTGTTTTATATGCCAAGTTAAGGGCATAAGAATTTAGAGTTTGCAATAAAAGGAGAAGGTTTGTTAAAAGAAATGAGTAATATTTTCATAGTAGATTTGGTAGTATTTAAGGGGCATTTTGAAAATAAATTGTCTTATTAAACATTCAATAAATTTGCATGATTTACATTTTCAGAGCAACTTCCTACCTGGAGGATCCATAAAGTCAAAGTGAACCAAGTCATCAATACCAAGTTTCTTCAACTGCAGCACCACAGAACCCAAATTAGACCTCAGGATTTCAGGGTAGGTATTGTCCTGTAAAAACAGCAAGTACCAACACGTAAGACATTTTACTTTATAAGAAAACCTTCTAAAATGATGCCATATGTTAACATCACAACTACTCTTTAAACCCTTCCACCATTTGTGTCTAATCACACCAGCTGTATGACAACACAGTCAACTCCTAGCAGCTAAAGTCAGGTTCCTCCACTGGTGCTTGACTACTATGGAAATGAAGGTAATAACAGAGTGAGAGTGTGGTGTTATCCAGCTCCAATGTCCAGAGGTTATTACAACAATTAAAAGTTGGATGGACTAATGCAGAAGTTCACTTTCACAATTGCAGAGCCAAAGCACAGGTGCCTGGTAGGAGTAGTTTGGAGAGAGATTGTTTTATTAGAGAGCACAAAAATACAACTATGCTCAAACCTGGATATACATGCTCCAAACATAGAATTTATGGGTTTGGAAAACTGCTGCTTACAACTGAACATGCCAAGGTAGAGTTAAACCATTGGAAGAAATTAGCTTCCAGTAAACAGATTCTTGTAATGTGGATTTGCATATTTTTAAAGTACCCAATAAGCATTCATGCACAGCTCTCATCTTTCAGGAGCATGATAATCCCACCCACCCTTGTGTGGATTAGAATATCCGCCCTTAGTGGATAAAGAGGGAAGCACACAACATTGAAACAAGCACGAGAGAATCTAATTTTACCAGCAAAACTTTAAAAGGAATTAGAATCAAAATACTGATCCATAATAGTCAGTAATGTATCAAAAATGAATTTAAAAAATGGGAAATACACGAAGCAGCTCTGTGAGAAAGAAGGTGCTGCAAATCTATTTCACACAGCAAGGAGATGTGATGCAGAATCTATTAGCTAGAAAAGGGATATCAGTGATGTCTTAAGATCAGAAAGTGTTTGTGGCATATGAACTCTCCCGTGCTGAAAAACATCTGTAAATAGATTAGTACCTGCATTTCTGTTTTATAAGCTTTCTCTGTGTAAAGCCTAAAGCATTTGCCTGGCCTAGTACGGCCAGCTCGACCTGCTCTCTGCTGTGCTGAAGCTTTACTGATAGCTGTCACAAGAAGCGATTCCACTCGAATACGAGGATTATACACCTGTCAGTGAAAGGTGGGGAGGAAACAAAATTATATTTAAATTTATAGACTGGCAATGTAAATGTATGGATGTGATCAATCTCAAAATGATATGCACACAGTAGAATATACAGTCCTCCTGCTCATTTTACTTCAAAGTATTTCACCATGTTCCATGTGAGAGGAACTACACCCCCCCTCAAAAAAATAAAATAAAAAAATAAAACTTACCTTTTGCTTGGCAAAACCAGGATCAATCACAAAGACAACACCATCGATTGTTAAAGAAGTCTCAGCTATATTAGTGGATACCACAACCTAGGAGTGGGGATAAAAAAAAATATATAAATAAAATACATCCTCACAAAAAGTGGTTTCCAGTTTAAAATGTAAGATTTGTACACGTTTTGCTAATAACCACTTTGCAATTATATGTTCAAACATACCAGGAAGCTTTATGCACAGCCAAAATAATTAAGGTGTGAAGCAGCAAATTCACAATGCCAAACCCCACTATATCCCAGTGCACCTAGCTTCTCATATCAATGCAGAGATTTTGGCAAATACTGGAGACTGTACCCAGTTCTTCTCTGCATTATAACTAGAATAGCAATTACAGGGCTTGGACCCCCCCTTTAAGGGGGGGGGGGGGAGAGGTGGAATAATCTTTATTTTAATGCGTTAAAAGAAAAATACATTTGATAAAAGCCTTTTATAAGATCATAAATATATCTTATATCAGGGGTTCGACAAATCCCAGGCACCAGGTCGCCATTGGCGACTAAGAATTTTGTTCTGGCGCCTGGGATTGGTCGGCACCTTCCCTCCTGTCAAATTCCAAGGAATTGCAAGCTGGCAGGGCAGCAGATAAAGGGAATGCATGTGTGTCAGTGCGCGTGTCTAAGAGTTTGTGTGCATGTCTGTCTTAGTGTGTTTGTGTCGTCAGTGAAAATGTACGTTAAGGTCACCAGCCTCCTCTGGACGCATGGGAATAGTGTGCTGCTTACTAACCTTTTTTGCAACGCCATGCCTCTCATGCTGCAGCTGCCCCACCTCCATAACTGACATCAATTACCAATCAGCATCTCCTCATAGAGATGCTATAAATCATTGCATCTCTATGGGTAACTTTAACCATCTCCATGCAAAGCGTGGAGACACTGAATGTAGGTGCTGCACTTTGTGCAGCACTGAGCTAGCAGACACTTTAGTGGCCATTTAAGCAACTGCCACTACAGGTGTTTCTAGGCAGTGATGTAAACTCTGCCATGTCTCTAAAAATGCAAAATTTACACTGAAAAGCCTGCAGAGACAATCCATAGAAACCAGAGCCACTACATTAAGTTGTAGTAGTTCTAGTAACTATAGTATCCCTTTAAGAATTGTATTTGAAAAACTGGCTCCTAACTTTTTTAGCTGGCTCCTACATTGAAAGCAAATTTGCCAAGCCTTGTCTTATACCAGCAAACATTGTTTTTGCAGCTACACTGAAATGCATCACAGTTGACGGGTGTAATTTCTACCTTGAATAAATAATGTCGCATAAACTGGTTGCTGAAGCTCTTAAACAACAAGAAAACTTGTGTCATATAAAGATTTCTTCCCCCAAAATGCTGTACATTTTTAACTGTAAGATGTGGAAAATGCAAAACTACAAGTTCAGTTGTGCAACTATTTCATTCCATTGCATGTACCTGAAAATTGCTTTTTTACAGCATTGAGGTCCACAGAGGATCCCGCATGACTGCAGAATCCTCCATAAACAGAGCCAATTCCCCGCAGCCGCCACTGGTTAAGGTGTATATCTGCCCACTGTAAGAATGTCAGGTGTAGGAAAAATACATAAGACAAAGTAGTCCCTACATGGTCTTATGTTTTTAGTTCGAAACCGATTAAAAATAAATAAGACCGGAGAAAAGAGGAAGAGATTGGGAAAAGGTAAGTATAGTGTGACAGTACCGCTTTAAAAGCTCAAGAGGTTTTCTTGAAAATCATGAAAACCATGGCAACTATCTACACAGCTACATACCTTTCTGCCTATTGCACCACTTGTTTTCTTGGGTGGAGGGGGCTCAAATATTCTCTGCTGTTGCTGTGGTGGTAGAGTCGAATACAAAGGAATGATCTTGATATCACCAACTTCAGGACCCAAGTCATCAATTTCTCTTTTAATCCGTTTACATGCCTCATCAATTTCCTACAAAATAAATTTGTGTTAACAAGTGAAATTTTCTTCTTCTTAATGCTCCATCAGCCAAGTGTATTTTAGACAATATTTTATGTATTTCTCTCTTGCCAATAGGGCAATGTTTCGGCTAACCTGTGTGCATACAGACATTAGCCAACCAACTCATATTTGAGTTCAGGGTTTCTATTAGACTTAGTCATTATACAGTACTTTAAACAGTAGGTGGAAGTAGACAGTCTTGTTGACATTACTCCAGGCCCCTACTCCCTAAAGGAGATACAATTTTAAGATTTCAATGTAAAGTGCTAAAATGGCACAACTGTAAGAAAATTTTCCATATTTGGTTGTTGCAGTTGTGTGAAAATACTGAATGCATTTTGCAGCTTCACCAATTAATATGGTTATAAATAATGGGTCACATGGATGTAGTAAAATATGAAAACAATCTGCCATTAAACTAGGAACACTCATTTCTCAAAAAAAAAAAAAAAAAAAAAATTGTGAAAACAGTACCAACAAGAAACTTTCTAAAAAGTTTTTTTTAAAAACTCTTACTGCACAAAGAAGCAAGAATTTAACATATGCAAAGAAACTTACTATAAACAGATATTTATATATACACACACACCTCTTGGCCAGTGAGGAAGAGCAGAAGATCTCCCTCCTCTTCTTCGCACATGTGTATCTGTATCACAGTACGAATGGCTGCCTCTAGGTAATCCCGCTCTGGCTCTGGCGTATAGAAGATTTCTACAGGATGTGTACGGCCAGGTATTGTCAGAAGTGGACAGCTATCAAAATAAACCTGGAATTTTCCAGCATCTAGAGTAGCACTCATGACTATAACCTAGAGAACAGGGGAAAGAAATGTATAAGTAACATACAATACATTGAAATAGGAGTTGTTAAACACAGCCTTACTGCATTTTGATTTGATAATACTTTTCAAGGATATATAAAGGTCAATAGAAAATTATGTATGCTACATTATCTCTTGCCTACTTGAAGTTATTATGCATTATGACAAAGATTGAATTATTGCAATGATGGGTAGATAAGCACAAATAATGGCAAATGAAGATCGTGATCCATGGCCACAATGATGTAGTACCCCTTAAGAGGACACACAGAGTTCAAGATATTTAACCCAAGACAAAATGTAACTCCTCCTTTTGTATTCTGGAAATCAAGTCAGGTGCCAAGAATTATGTAGTTATTAATTTTAAAAAAAATCTGCCCAACATAACTAAATTTTCTTTAAATGACACTCCAAGATACCCACATATTGTGCAATTCTGTCAAAGATGAGTGTGTGCTTTCACAAGCAAACAGCTAAGGTTTTCTAGTGAGAACATTATTTTGTCTCTTAAAAAGGACACTAGTCACCAGAACAAGTATAGCTTAATGTAGTTGTCCTAGTGTCTATAGCCTGTCCCTGGGGATACAGAGAAAGGGCAATGTTTACACCTCTAGTGACAATCACTCAGATGGCCACTAGAGGTGCTTCCTGTTTTGCTCTGCATGGAGACAACAAACATTATCCATAGAAATGCATTGATTCAGTGTTTTTGCTGCACATGCTCAATAGTTTTCTAATGTTTTTGGATTGGCTGAGATAATCAAGTCTGATGACCTCAGCCATGGAAACTGAGACAGAGCCAGTAGTGGAGAGACATGTGAGGCCTGGGGAAAAAAGTGAGTAAAATCACCTCTTCAGCACATTTGGAGAAGAACAGGCACCTAAACAGCCACACCAGGACTATAGTGTCAGGAATAAATGTTTGACACTATAGTGTTCCTTTAATTATGTTTCAATCTCCATCCACCAAAAGAAAGGGTGTTCTATCAAAGATAGGAACGAATTGCCTAGATCTCCCATAATTTGTTGCGTCCACTAGAAAACCTAATTTCTAATAAGGTCACAATGTCTGTTCAGAAGAGGAAAACCTATTTTTATTTACCTATGCTGCATAATTAAATATTCGTTTTCTGGGGTTAACAACTGGAACAGGTGCTGAACAACACCCTAATGCTACATATGAGAAGAGAGCATATAGCTAGCCACTCAGACTATGCAAAGAATACACAATTGTTGCAGTGGGTCTAAGCAGATTCCCAAATGAATTACCTTCAAATCGTTTCTTTGTCTCACCACCTCCTTTAAAACGCCCATTAATATGTCTGTTGCCAAAGTCCTTTCATGAGCTTCGTCAAGAATTACTACACCATACCGTTCCAAAAGCGGGTCATTCATTGCCTCTCGAAGTAACATACCATCAGTCATATACCTGCAAGATACATTTTTTATCAAATTATGATCAAATCATTAAGTCCATCTTTGTGTCTATTTACATATGCACAAGAAACAAACTTGTCCCCAGAACTCTTAAAAAAATATTATATATATATATATATATATATATATATATATATATATATATATATATTAAAAGTGCTTCTTTAAACCCTTAAAGGGACACTATAGTAACCTGAACAACTTTAGCTTAATGAAGCAGTTTTGGTGTATAGAACATGCCCCTGCAGCCTCACTGCTTAATCCTCTGCCATTTAGGAGTTAAAGCCCTTTGTTTATGAACCTTAGTCACACCTCCCTGCATGTGACTTGAACAGCCTTCCATAAACACTTCCTGTAAAGAGAGCCCTATTTAGGCTTTCTTTATTGCAAGTTCTGTTTAATTAAGATTTTTGTGACCAAATGGCTACTAAAAAAAGACTGGACATACCCCATTTGCAATTCCTTGGGTTGTCTACTATTGCAAATGATATGCCATTATGGGTGTAAATTTCTTTCCTGGGCTACGATAAAGTCCCAAAGGCAACGTAACCAATCTGGCGAATTTCAATTTCAAATGTAACGTGCTATATTTGACCCTGTAACTTCCCAAAACGCCATAAAACCTGTACATAGAGGGTACTGTTTTACACGTGAGACTTTGCTGAATACAAATATGTGTATTTTATTGCAGTAAAAGCAAACAGTATTATGACATTGACAGTTAAAATGTCATGTAGAACAAAAAAAATAAAAATCTTATTCTCTCCCATTTTTTTCATATTAAATTATGTTTCATAGCTAAATATTTGATATTAAATGAAAGCCCTGTTTCCCCTGAATACAATGATATATAAGCGTGGGTGCATTTAAATATGAAAGACGCGAACTACGGTTGGACAGACATGTAGCGCAAATGCCAGGTTTTGTTTACATTTTGTTTCGTTCACAACGTGTACATTTGGCTCCGTCCTTAAGGGGTTAAGGACTGAGCCAAATGTACACGTTGTGAACAAAACAAAACGTAAACAAAACCTGCCATTTGCGCTACATGTCTGTTCAACCGTAATTCACCTCTTTCATATTAAATGCATCCACCCTTATTATATATCATTTTATTCAGGGGAAACAGGGCTGTCATTACAGGCAGTCCCCCAGCAGCCAGCTAACCCGGCCATGTGACTGAAGTCCTCGCAAGGACCTCACTCTAACATAGCCGGGTGGGGGGGGGGTGGGCCAGAGGCAGGCAGGATCCGCCGCGGGGCACTCCCTGGGATCCCAGGTGAGTCTCCCCAACCGCGATCGCTGGCGACTGGGTAAGTAACAAAAACCGTGAGGGCGTACTATTACGCCCTGCGGCGTTTAGAGCCGCTTAGGATAGGGCGTAATAGTACACCCTCCGGTTTTAAGGGGCTTAAGTTTCGTAACAGATGAAAGGTCAAATTTGTTTGTATTATTATTATTATTATTATTATTATTATTAGAACACACCTCTAAACAAAAGATAAGTTTTCAATGATTTCGAAAAGATGAAAACCTATCAATGCATATTCAAAGGGACACTCTAGTGCCAGGAAAACAATCCGTTTTGCTAGCACTGCAGGTCCCCTCTCCCTCCCACCCCCGGTTGCTGAAGGGGTGAAAACCCCTTCAGTCACTTAGCTGAGACCCCAGCCGATGTCCCTGGGCTGTGGTTTCACGTCGCCGCCACTCCTCTTCCTTACGTCAGCCGGTGAGCGAGACTGATCCCGCCCACCGGGGAGACCTAATGTGCGGCAATGACGTGCATTAGAGCTCTCCATAGGAAAGCATTGAAAATGCTTTTCAATGCTTTCCTATGCAGACTTGAGCGACGTTGGAGGACCTCCAACGTCGCTCAAGTCTGCATAGGAAAGCATTGAAAAGCCTGTGCTATAGACAAGGAAGTGCCCTCTGATGGCTGTCTAGTGAAGAGTTAACCCTGCAAGGTAATTATTGCAGTTTATAAAAAAGGGTAGTGGGAGTTGGCACCCAGACCACTCCAATGGGCAGAAGTTGTCTGGGTGCCTGGAGTGTCCCTTTAAACCAGTAGAGATAAATAAAGTTTGTGTTAACTTAAACATACCATGTAACAAGCTGTGTGTGCATTGAGTACCGCTCAAATTAAGATCTACATCCAGATCTGCAAACCCATAAAAACTAAAAGATCAAGAGAAAGTTTTAAAAATCCTCAGATCTGCGTGTATCAGATGTAGAGGAATCTAAATAGGATCCAGCCTGCTCCAAACAGTTATTGGTATTGAAACAATTATATAAATTTATCTGACACTGATATATATTGCAACTAAGCACATGCAAAATTAAGATACCTATTAAAAGCAAAAACAATATATTTGAGGCTTGGATTACAAGGCAGCTTACTTACTTCAGGATTGTTTTTGCACTGCTGCAGTCTTCAAATCGAATGGAATAACCAACTTCCTGACCCAACATTACATCCATTTCATCAGCCACTCTCTGGGCCACACTCATTGCAGCTACTCTTCTTGGCTGGGTACACGCAACGCCTCTTTTAGGACCCGGCAACGACCGCATGTAATCAACACACCATTGAGGAATCTGAGGAAATTAATAATTGATATACAGTTACACTTCTGCAACCAGATTCTTCATTTAAGTTGTATAGTTTCCTGCAGAGAGGAGGTCCATCTGTTAGATCAGCTTAAGCATTACATGTGAAATGAGAACTACAAAACTATCTTAAGTCTTCTGTGTGCAAATACACACAGTGGATCTAAAATACATGCGTTTTGTTTGCCATTTGCTTTCACTATGCACCAAATCAACTTTGGCTTATTTAAAGGAACACTATAGTGTCAGGAACACATACATATATTCCTGACACTATAGTGGTAAAAACAATTTAGGTCCACCATTTACTTTAAAAAGGCGATTTTACTCACTTTTTTTCAGCGTTGAGTCAGTCTCCCCATACTGTACGCGCCTCACTTCACCTCTGTGGCTGAGATCAAATTTGATGAACTCGCCAACGAGCATCTCCTCATAGAATAAATGCATCTCTATGGAAAGCGTACAGCATTCCCATGCAGAGCGTGGAGAAACTGTGCATCACTGACCAAGGAAGCACCTTGAGTGACTGCCACTAGAGATGTTACTAAAGTTTTAATAAGAAATTGCACTAGCCAATAAAGATAGCATATCAACACTTTGCTGCCACACAGACCAGGGAGAGTACCACTCCATCATGAATTGCAGACCAAAGAAAGAAATACCCAGGCACATAAAGGCTCTAGCCAAACACTGCCCTGGTCAATCAGCATCTCCTCAAAGAGGAATCTCTATGAGGAAAGTTCAGCGTCTCAATGCAGATTGTGGAAACACTGAACATCAGTGCTGCACATAGTGCAGCATTACCCCAGGAAGCACCTCCAGTGGCCACTGGAGGTGTCCCTAGGCTTTAATGTAAACACTGCCTTTTCTATGAAAAAAATAGATCAGAAATGAAGAACAGATTCTGAAAGATGAACAAGAGATTGGTAAGTGTGAGGTGACAAAGCCACTTTAAAGGAAAACTATAGACACCTAAACCACTCTCTCATTGAAGTGGTCTGGTTGCACTGTCCCTGTCCTACTAACCATGCAATGTAAAACATTACAGTTTTAGAGAAACTGCAATGTTTATATTGCAGTGTTAAGATTTCCTCTAGTGGCTGTCTACCAGACAGCCACTCGAGATGCTTCCTGCAGTTTCACAGAGTTGTCCAGCGTCTTCAAATTCCCCATAGGAAAGCACTGATTCAATGCTTTCCTATGGGGAAGGCCTTTGAGGTCATCGTGAGAGGGACCTAAGAGGTGGTGGAGACAGAGCCATCTCTGAGCGCTCAGAGCTGGAATAAGGCAAGTGGGAGGGGAAAAAAAAGTGTGTTTTTTTTTCCCTTAACCCTTTCATTGTCAGTGGGTGTGTGGGGTTGGGAGGGGGGGAGGGCAGAGGGAAGCTATAGTCTTAGGAATACAGCTTTGTATTCCTAACACTATAGTGTTTCTTTGAGATGTTGCAGACAGTTACTATATCACATTAAATACTGTAATCACTAGCACTTGTTGTGAATGGTGATCTGAAGTTAAATGAAAATTTCATAATCTTCTTAAAACTTTAACTTTGGGAGAAGAGATGGAGAGCATACGTTAAACTCAATTTTAAAGGGTAGACTTTCTTGGAGAGAGTAGCTCATACATACCCCAGTATTTGCTCATGAAGCTTTAATAGAAATGACATGTGCAGTGGAGGTATGTAAAAACAAACGTACATTCCCAGACGTTCTAAGAAAGCCGCGTCACTATGTAACAAATACTCTGTGTATCCCATGATTCCCCGAACATTGTACACATTGGCAAACAGAGGACATTTTGCATTTTTATTGTACGCAAGGACAGACAAGTAATATGTAACTTTAAAGTGACACTCCAGCTTGCTGGAGTTCTTTAGGGGTTAACTACACATCCTTTCTGCCTTACTTTATGCAAGTGTCAATTTCAAGAAAAAAAATCCCTTTAATAACACCTCCCAGCTGTCAAGCAAAGTTGAGAATCATTGGTTTTAATACTTCTCTAGGAAAAGCAATTTTAGCATACTGCAGCATATACACAATGTGCCGTGTTTTGTCCAAGAGAAGTTGAATGGACACAATAGTTACATCTACATAAAAATATATGGAGAGAAAAAAAAAAATAAAGGGGCAGGGGGTGTTTGGTGGAACTACTACAGATTGTTATTTTGTCATCTCCATGCAATAACCTAAAACAATTATCAGAAAGCACAAATATTACATACCTGTGTAGTTTTTCCAGAGCCAGTCTCTCCAACCAAAACAAAGGACTGGTTCCGTGAGAGGATATCGGTGAACCGTTCCTTGTATTCCCAAACTGGTAGCTGAAGTCGCTTTTTTAATATATCATAGTATCGTGGGGTGTGTGGTAGGTTTGTAAATGGGTTAACGCCTTGAGGAAGTGCTGCTGGTTTTACGGGTGGTACCCCAGCTGCTGTGATATAAGGTGTATTTGATACACTCCTGGAGTCTTTATCTTTGTCCCTATCACGTTCACGGTCTCTCTCTTTGTCACGATCCCTATCACGATCCTTTGATCGGTCATCTCTTTCGCGATCTCGCTCTTTCCTGAAATGCAAGACAAGAGTAAACACTTGAGTTCTAAGCTACTTCCAAACTTAAAACATCACCATCACAAACATTAGCACATCATTTTATTTTTAAATTTACTGTGTACAATTCAGGGCTGCCCAACGGGTAGATCCCCAGCTGTTGTAGAACTACAACTCTCCTGATGCTTTGTCATTCTAAAGACATGCAAAGCATCATGGGAGTTGTAGTTCCACAACATCTGGGGATCTACCTGTTGGGCAGCCCTGGTGTAGTACACTGTTACTGTGAATGCAGGGATGTACTTGTATGAAGTGTCAGCATGTGGGAATACAGTGTAAATTTATGCAGCTGCACATATGTATTGGATAGGTTCACCTGCAAGACTGGTTTCAGAGATATACATTAGATGTTACTTTCCAGTTCGTATTCTTACATTAGATGAAATTCCAGGGTTCCCTACTGAATCTGAATCCACATAAGTTTAGCTTAAGATTCCCAGAGCCAATTTAAGCTGTAGTTTTGGTGCTTAGAGTAACTCTTTAATATACAATTATTTGAACTGGAGGGAATTCTTTGAAAGGATTCACAATAGTATCAAGGTATGCTACTATTGTTTTCCCAAGTAATTGGTTGCTGAGCATCACTAGTAGCATGTAATGTTATATATAGTTTTTTTTCCCCCACCAGCTATAAACATCTCACTAAAGGTTTAATTATACAGAGAGTGTCAAAGGTTTAGTATTAAAATAACATCTGTACACGAAAAGGACCAAAGAGAGGAGGGAGGTATAACATATAATTATAGTCTTTCTATAACTGTCTCCCACAGGATCACAGGCATCACCAGACTGGCAGATGAATGCATAACAAAGTTGCATCCAAATAAAAACAAGTGAGTGCATTAAAGGGACACTATAGTCACCTGAACAACTTTAGCTTAATGAAGCAGTTTTGGTGTATAGAACATGGCCCTGCAGCCTCACTGCTCAATCCTCTGCCATTTAGGAGTTAAATCCCTTTGTTTATGAACCCTAGTCACACCTCCCTGCAGGTGACTTGCACAGCATTCCATAAACTCTTCCTGTAAAGAGAGCCCTATTTAGGCTTTCTTTATTGCAAGTTCTGTTTAATTAAGATTTACTTATACCCTGCTATGTTAATAGCTTGCTAGACCCTGCAAGAGCGATTGAAGTTCAATTTAGAGATTGAGATACAATTATTTAAGGTAAATTACATGTTTGAAAGTGAAACCATTTTTTTTTTTTCATGCAGGTTCTGTCAATCATAGCCAGGGGAGGTGTGGCTAGGGCTGCATAAACAGAAACAAAATGATTTAACTCCTAAATGACAGTGAATTGAGCAGTGAAATTGCAGGGGAATGATCTATACACTAAAACTGCTTTATTTATCTAAAGTAATTTAGGTGACTATAGTGTTCCTTTAAGTATGACCATCTCTGGCAGATGTGGCACAAAATATTCTAGCATATATCAGCAACTAAATATCTCTAACGTTTGTCACCTGCATTAGACATATCTTATACAAAAAAAAACCGAACTTGGTAGATGGACACTGCTTTTTTAACCTACAAGACAAACTATAGATAATACTGAACCTCAATTGGAAGAACATTACTAAGAGTTAAAGGGACACTTTAGTCAACCAAAACAACTTTATCTTCATGAAGCAGTTTTGGTGTATAGATCATGACTGAAGTCTCACTGCCCAATCCTCTGCCATTTAGGAGTTAAATCACTGTTTTTGTTTAAGCAGCCCTAGTTACACCTCCCCTGTCTGTGACTAACACAGCCTGCATGGAAACAAAAATGGTTTAATTTTTAATCAGATGTAACTTACTTTAAAAGTGTGTATCTTCTGCTCTGTAAATTGCACTTTAATTACATACAGGGGGCTCCTGCAGGGTCTAGAAAGTTTTTAACAGAACAGGAGATATGACTTTTCTCATTTATCAGGAGTTGCAATAAAGGAAGTGTAAGCATTAGATGACTCTTTACATGAAGTGTTTAGGAAGACTATGTAGGGAGGTGTGACTAGGGCTGCATAAACAAAGTGATTTAACTCATAAATGGCAAGGAATTGGGCAGTGAGACTATAGGGGCAGGATCTATACACCAAAACTGCTTAATTAAGCTAAGGTTGGTTTGGTGTCTATAGTGTCCCTTTAAAGAAGGGAAATGAAAAGTCTTGGTCTGGGCAAAATATATACATTTAAAAAAAAAAAAAAATCTGCATGTACAATTCAATGAAGATAAATAGTGATCTTTGATTCACTGTAGGGCCTACTTATCAAAGGCAAAACTAGTGCAATTTGGGACACTGCTAAATATTTACCAAGAAACCCAATAGTGCATTTCAGAAGATATATTCAGGAGCTATAATTTTCAATGTGCATGTCCCAAAAAAAACATACATACTTGTTTACTATGCATGTAATAGCAAAGAATAAGGAAATACATAAGGTTCCAAGCTAAGAGGCCATAAACATTTTTTGTTTTGCATGCATCATAGTGTTTAACCTATCTGTACAAAGATATTCAGTGGAAGCTATAAACGCTGGCTAGAAATGTTAAAGTCTGACTTTAAAAAAAATAAAAATTAGCATTTATAACTTTAATGTGCCTTAACCTTACATAAGTAGTGTGCTGGTCAGACATTGGCCTAACTGCAAAGAAGACTAAAACAGCAGCAAAGTTTCACGTGTTCATTATTGCCAAAAGAAGTAGAAGGCTGTTAACTCTGCAGGATACATACAATGTGAAAAGTAGTCTGTTACATCTGCACCATCACTACATCTATTAAATGAATCCCAACTAGGTAGCGCTATCCCATATTCTTGCTAAATACGGATTTTCCAGCCATCTCAAGGGAAACACTGGTCAACATAGCATGTCAAGATGTGTACTACAAAGACTTAGGCCAAATGTGTGGGTTGATTGCTACTAGTGCATGGGGCACGGGGATTCTGTGTTTTCTGGAACAAGATAACTTATGTACAAAAAGGGGTGCGCAAAAACTGGAATTATCATTCTCAAGTGATTTAACTATGGTTTAGTAGCATTTTGCAATATGATATTCTTTAAATGTTTTGGGTATGTATGCAACACATTCCATTGCTTTTTCAGATGCACTTTTTTTTTTTTTTTTAATAAAAAAACAGTAATTTCAGAATTTAAGCATAATGTAAATGAGCCATGATCAAACTAGTAACACAAACTTTCAGGCCACAGTTATTTTGCAGTAACCAATGCACATCAGTCATACACAGGACCAATCTGTGTTCCCATTCCTATTTTTTTTTTTTTTTTTTAACACTTTGTCACAACCATATTGTAAAAGGCAGTGATGCTACATTAACAAATGTATTATCTGACGCCCTGATAAGTACTAATATGCCCGTTCCAAATGTGGTGACCCACTTTTTTGGTTTTTAATCTAGGGTATAAACAAACCCTATCATAGGAGTATTGGAGTAGGATGATTGACATTTGGGACTACATGCGACGCAGTCCTTTGATTTTCAGTCAGTAGGGTCATATAACAGTAATGCAACAATCTCAGCGTAAGGATTTACCGTAGCTATATTTAGGAGGGCTGCAAATTTGCCATGCCTAGAGTTGTGGGCTAATGTACACAGCATCACAGATGCCATTGGTGTCCAAGCAGTCGCACTCACATACAATGTAAAATGCATGGGCCAAAGGTAATTGTACACAATGCTGAGGCCTTATATTGTCAGTTCGGACCAGAGATGGAGCATGCTGTGCACTCTTTATATAAACATGAGCTGAGTTCTCCAAATGTTGTCCCTCCAGGTGTTGCTGAACTACAACTCCCATTATTGTTTGAATGAAATAGACAAAGAATCAAGCGAATTGTAGCTTAGAAACATCTAGATGGCCAGAGTTTGGAGAACCCTGTGGTTGCGCATACAGTGCAGCCTGCTCTTTATACAGACATGATTCTTATATAGGGATGCCTGCAGTGTGCTCTTATTATATAAACATGCTTCCTATACATTTGTAGTGGTTTCTATACAGAGCAGCCTACTCTCTATATAGACACATGGCTCAGTGCAGCGCGCTAGCTCTCCCATACAGTGCAGCGCGCTAGCTCTCCCATACAGTGCAGTCTTAGTTCTCCCATACAGTGCAGTCTTAGTTCTCCCATACAGTGCAGTCTTAGTTCTCCCATACAGTGCAGTCTTAGTTCTCCCATACAGTGCAGTCTTAGTTCTCCCATACAGTGCAGTCTTAGCTCTCCCATACAGTGCAGTCTTAGTTCTCCCATACAGTGCAGTCTTAGTTCTCCCATACAGTGCAGTCTTAGTTCTCCCATACAGTGCAGTCTTAGTTCTCCCATACAGTGCAGTCTTAGTTCTCCCATACAGTGCAGTCTTAGTTCTCCCATACAGTGCAGTCTGTTAGTTCTCCCATACAGTGCAGTCTTAGTTCTCCCATACAGTGCAGTCTGTTAGTTCTCCCATACAGTGCAGTCTGTTAGTTCTCCCATACAGTGCAGTGTGTTAGTTCTCCCATACAGTGCAGTGTGTTAGCTCTCCCATACAGTGCAGTGTGTTAGCTCTCCCATACAGTGCAGTGTGTTAGCTCTCCCATACAGTGCAGTGTGTTAGCTCTCCCATACAGTGCAGTGTGTTAGCTCTCCCATACAGTGCAGTGTGTTAGTTAGCTCTCCCATACAGTGCAGCGTGTTAGCTCTCCCATACAGTGCAGCGTGTTAGCTCTCCCATACAGTGCAGTTAGCTCTCCCATACAGTGCGTGTTAGCTCTCCCATACAGTGCAGCGTGTTAGCTCTCCCATACAGTGCAGCGTGTTAGCTCTCCCATACAGTGCAGTCGTGTTAGCTCTCCCATACAGTGCAGTCTTAGTTCTCCCATACAGTGCAGTGTGTTAGTCAGTCTCTCCCATACAGTGCAGTCTTAGTTCTCCCATACAGTGCAGTTAGTTCTCCCATACAGTGCAGTCTTAGTTCTCCCATACAGTGCAGTCTTAGCTCTCCCATACAGTGCAGTCTCTCCCATACACAGTGCAGTGTTAGCTCTCCCATACAGTGCAGTGTTGCAGTCTTAGTTCTCCCATACAGTGCAGTCTTAGTTCTCCCATACAGTGCAGTCTTAGTTCTCCCATACAGTGCAGTCTTAGTTCTCCCATACAGTGCAGTCTTAGCTCTCCCATACAGTGCAGTCTTAGTTCTCCCATACAGTGCAGTCTTAGTTCTCCCATACAGTGCAGTCTTAGCAGTGCAGTCTTAGTTCTCCCATACAGTGCAGTCTTAGTTCTCCCATACAGTGCAGTCTTAGCTCTCCCATACAGTGCAGTCTTAGCTCTCCCATACAGTGCAGTCTTAGCTCTCCCATACAGTGCAGTGTGTTGTGCCCGCTCTCCCAGCATGCTGCCGGTGAGGCCTAGCCTAGCCCAGCCTGTCTCTCTCTCTCTCTCTCTCTCTCTCTCTCTCCCGCCATGTTCTCCCCGCCCTCCCCCGGCTCCGGACTGTGAGACGGACAAAGACACCCCGGGCCCGTGTCCCCCGCCCTCTCTCTCAGTGAGACCCTCCCCGGCCCGCTCTGGCCCGCTCACCCCTCGCTCCGTTTCTTGCTGGGAGCGTAGTCATCGCCGAGGTCTAGCCGGTGCCGCTTAGACATGGCCGCCAAACGCTCTCCTTCTCTCCTTCACCGGGGCTCGTGCTACAGCTCGACACCAGCCACGCGCCGCCGCCGGATCACGTGCTAAAAAGAAGGGGGGGAGGCAAAGAACAGCGCAACGACACCGCGATTTACGGCGTCTGCGCAGTAACAGCAGCAAAGGGGAGAGGGGGCGGGGAAACGCGCGGACCAAGAAGCGGAAGAAGAAAGGAGAGCTGTGATTGGCAGTTTGGCCGCTCGGTTAGCGAGCGCTCGGCTCTTTCCGATCGAAGCCGAGTCGACGAGTTCCAAACGCTAGAGCATAAACGTGGTAGTTACGCTATGGGCTTTAGTGCAATGAGCGGCAATGGCAGTGTTCACAGCCTAGTGGTGTCGATATTGTTTTGAATACCATGTGTAGGAAGCGCAACGGTTCGTCTGCAAAGATCTGGAAGCTTCTAGAGACGGCCGAGCGCTAAACAACAGAGACTGAACATCGGGGACAGAAGCCATTTTGTTGGTGGGAATGTGATTGTTCCTGTAACATTTTGTAATGGTCTCATTTTTTTTTTGTTAAATTATCTTCTTTAATAATACTGTAAAGCGCAAATAAATTGGAGCTATATTAATGCCAATAATAATAATGACAAACTAGGGACTACTTTGTCTTATGGTAAAGCCTGAGTTTGACAAGAGCCAGCGCTACCCCATCAGTTTTTGTCCAATCCCAGCAAGTGTCACGAGTGACAACAGTGGGATTCAGCCACGCTCGCCACGAGACACAATCTATGAAGCATCTTGCGCATGCTCGAGAATAAATCACTAAGGCATCTTCTGGCAAATGAAACACCAAGAGCCAAAAAAGACCTCCAGGAAGAAAATGGCAGCTTGCATGAAGGACAGCTTAAAGGGACTCTCCCGTGCCAGGAAAAAATATCTGTTTTTCTGGCACCGCAGGACCCTACAGTGCCCCTTCCCCATCCCCACCCCCAATCCAATGCTGATCCCTCCCACCCCCTATCCCATGTTAAAAACCCCTTCAGTGACTTAACTGAATCCAGCGCCGATGTCCCTCGGCACTGGGTCAGGCTCAGCCCAAGCTCCGCCAACGTCAGCCGGGGGTAGACCTAATGCGCATGTGCAGCAATGGCCGCGTGCGCATTAGACCTTCCCATAGGAAAGCATTATTCAATGCTTTCCTATGAGGATTCCGGCGACGCTGTAGGTCCACATGCATAGCGTGAGGACGTCCTGCGTCATTTAAAACACTTTTCGTGTTCTAAGAACACGGAAGTCCCTCTTGTGGCTGTCTAATAGACAGCCACTAGAGGAGGACTTAACCCTGCAAGGTAATTATTTCTGTCTATAAAAACTGCAATAATTACACTTGCAGGGTTAAGGGTTGTGGGAGTTGGCACTCAGACCACTTCAATGGGCAGAAGTGGTCTGGGTGCCCGGAGTGTCCTTTTAAGGTAAGTAAACCTACCTTCCACGGCACTCTGCGGTCACTGGATCCTAGCCAAAGATGTCACCTTCATTCAAGATCCCAAAAGTGACAGATCCACTTTAAAGATAAAATATTCCAATATATTCAAAGGAAATCATACAGAAGAATATAGCTGCTATAAGATGTGCAACAATCCCAAATGTTTCTGTGCTATTTTCATACTGAAGGACAGTACATATATACTTTAGGTGCATGAATTACTGTAGTTAATCACATGGAATCCCAAAATAAGGGGGTTATAAAAAAAAATTACAAAATCAGTTTCTCTGCAACTTTCTATTCCTTTTTTGGATTTGTTTTAGTTCCTGATGATGTTACCATTGCAAAATAAGTCAAATGAGTGAGAACAAAATAGATGCAATTGCAATTTGACTTCTTTCAGAAAATACACTCTGACTGTGGCAAAAAATTGTGTGCCTCTTTTTTTCTATACATCGGTAGCGCCACTATGTAAACGACAAAAACAAGCTGCAGGACTAAACTGAACTCTAGAAGGAAACAATTTTCATGTATTGCCCATGAGTATGAACCTATATGTGTCAAGGAAAACATGGTAGATGTGGAAAACACGGTTCAGTAAATTTACCTGCCACCATGCAGGACAAAGACCACTAATCTCAGAGTAGCTCCTGGACATCTGCCATGGATTGGTGAAAGTTAAAAGGACACTGTAAACACCAAATCTAGCTCATCTTAAAGGACCACTCTTTACATCATAATTACTGCAAATTGTTATAGAGCGAGAAGGTTCCTGGCACTCGAGTTAAGCTGAACAGTTTAACCTCAAACTCGCAAAGACAGTGGCTGATCACTCAGCCTCTCTACCACCTTTCTTCATCTGAGGCCTCAATCATGAAGTCTCAGACCAGGCATCGCTAATAGGCTGAGAGCATTCTCAACTAGTGATGTCCCGAACGGTTCGCCGCGGACGGCAAACAAACTTTGACCCTGTACCTCACAGTCAGCAGACACATTCCAGCCAATCAGCAGCAGACCCTCCCACCTCCTGGACAGCTCACTAAGAACGCAGCTTCACAATGAATGTAAAATGGATGCTGTCCAGGAGGTGGGAGGGTCTGGGAGGGAGGGTCTGCTGCTGATTGGCTGGAATGTGTCTGCTGACTGTGAGGTACAGGGTCAAAGTTTATGTTCACCGTCCGCGGCAAACCGTTCGGGACATCACTATTCTCAACCTATTACTAGCTCCCCAAACAGGCCTGCACTGAATTACTCCTGGGGGGCCCAAGGCAACTGCCCCATGGACCCTACAAACCCTCAACAATTTAATTTTGCACTTGGGTCAACTGATGGGCATTCGTTTGCAGGGGCCCCGGTTTGGTAGTGTGGCCCTTTAACAGCTTTTCTGCAGCATGGGAGGAAGTGACAGCCACAAGTCACTTCCTCCTACAGAGAAGACAGAACTGCGGGGGGAGGGAAGAGGGGGTTGGGGAGCCAGGCCCTAACTCCCAACAGCCTCAGGCACCACAGTGGACCTCAGGGAAGCATGTGTGTCAGTATGTCTGTCACTAGATGTACCTGTGTGTGTCAGTATGTCTGTCTGTGCGTCAGTATGTCTATCTGTGTATATGTCTCTGTATGTAGTTAGTGTGTGTATCTGTGTCTGAGTATCTGCATGTGTGTCAGTGTGTCTGAGAGGTTTCATATGGGTCAGTGTTTGTAACTGTCTGTCTGTGTATATGCATGTATGTCAGGTTGTGTATCTGTTTGTATGTGTATTGGTGTGTCTGTATCTGCATGTGTGTGAGGGGGGACGTGTATCACAGTGTGTGTGGCTGTATATATGTATGTATGTATGTATATGTGCATACATCTCAGCGATAAAACTTCAACACCACATACAAACACACTCCTGCATTTAAACGTCAACACTACATACAAACAAACAAAACATTATATATAAACACGCCCCTGCATTCAAAAACCAACACTACACATAAATGCATGTTTGCATTCAAACGCCAATCTGACATACAAACACATCCCTACATTCACAAATACTGCATACAAAAGCATGCTTACATTCAAACACACAAACACACACACTCAGTGCTACATACAACCCTGCAAGCATGGGAAAATGGTAGAGCCCCAGCTGTCCAAGCATTGTTGGAGTTGCATGACAGATAGGGAACTACCTTTTGGCCACCCTTTCCAAAACAATTCTTGCACCAGGGCCCTTTCTACTTTAGTTCCGCCACTGTGTTGGGGTGGAGGGTGTCAATGGACAGGGATCAGGATCCAGGGGGCCCAAGCAAATACTTGCGCAGGGTCCAATCAATCGCCCCTGGGTATATAATATTTTCTTTTTCTATTATAATATGAGCAGAGTGATTTTTCAGTCATGTGCTTCTACCCACCAGTCATGCACACTAATCTACCCTATTACCTCTGTACACTCTACCACACTCCTTGTCACGTATTTCCATGCACATATCTTGCCTTCACCACATATTCACACCTATCCACCAATTCACACTCACCATTCAATCACATAACTGTGCGGAAACATACCTCAATTGATGCTCCCGCTTCAAGTCAGCTACATTTCATTTCAATCAAATTCAGTATGCCCTTAATCCAGTTCAGGAGTATCTACACAAACACTTAGCAGTAGTACTAGATTGCATGTAAATGCGGCCTTGTCAACGTCTAAGACTCAGATTTTATTGACTCAGCGTTAGTTTGAATCACCACCACTCACATCATCCCAAAACTAACCAAACTTAAATGAAGCGACCGTGGCGCTTTTATTTCTTCATTAATTGGCTGGCATCCTATCAGAGCTCTTAAACATTTTACTTTTTCCTCGTTCCTTATTTTCTATTGTTTAACCTAGCTTAGTTTCTGACATTGATTTTTCCAGTATTCCTTGTGTACTAGACCCTGGCTACGTCTGACTACTATTACCCTGTTCCTGTTTTGTGCTCCAGAGCCCAGCTATGTTTTGACCACAATTACCTGGTTCCTGTCAGTGTACCTGACCCCGGCTGTGTTTGACCTTGATATTTTCCTGTTCTTTTATGCCTATTAGACCCAGCTTGTTTGAGACCTAAAGTTTCAGTTATTCTGTAGTAGTGTTTAATGCTGATTTCATTGTACTCCTCCTGGTCTGAATAAACTTATATTATTAGTAGTCCGGTTACATCCTAATTATTGCTTTGTGTTAGCCTGGCCATTCTAAGTTACCGTATGTTAATATGCCTTACTATCTCTCCTTACTTTGCGTTTGTTGGGATTGTTGACTTGTATCTTTCTGAGGATACTAACGAGAGAGAGATTTACAAGAGGGCCATTATGCAGAAATTAGAATCTTTTCAGACCAGGCTGAAGGTATAGGGCCACAGGATGAATCAGACGGCTCAGACATTATAGACTTTATTTTCAAAGTTTTAATAAGGAATGGCACTCACCAATAAAGATAGGGGATCAACACTACAATGCCACACTGTACCTCTCTCTCATAAATTGTAAACCTCAGAAAAATGCCCAAGTCTGCAGACTTTTTTGAAGTTCAGCAGACAACATTTCGGCTTACACAAGTATCTTTGTCAAACCATAGACTGGGGGTACAGGACCATAGGATAAATCAGATGGCTCAGACATTACAGACCTTATTACTGTGCCTCACTCTGACTCTAGTTTTCCTGTGGCTACCCAAACATTTGCACCTCCTTCTCATGAGCTCTCACCTTGCACCTCTCTAAATCTTCTTCATATGGAGGTGTGACCCACTTGGATGTTCGGGTTTTCTTAGCCAGGTGGTGACCGATTTTTAATTTACGGTTTAAGGGGCCGAACCGAACGCCACCTGACTGCTGAAATCCATTTTTTGACCTTCTCACATGGCATCGTGTTCTTGGGTTTTTATCTATTATTTTACAATGCTGCTTAAAACTACTTTGTATTCTAAACTCTTTATTGTCCTTTCCTGGGGATTTCATATCCAGTATTTGCATATTTCCTTGTTTGCTCAGCCTCTAGGGCTCGTCAAGTCCCTGTATGGACTTCATCTCCATCATGCTATTTCCATGCATTACTTGACTTACATGTCCTCCTGAGTTCTTGTCCTAAAACCGTGTTCTTGTACCTTTTATTGTCTCATTGTTGCTCAATTACCTTGTCCGTCTAATTTTGCTATAGTTTTGAAATGCTTTAGTGTCTGCTCTCTTTTTCAATTTTTTTCATATCCTTTTATGGATATTTTCTATATTCCAATGTCTGTTTTTATGTACACTATATGGCCAAAAGTATGTGAACACTTGATAATCAATCCTATATGAGCATGTTGTGTAAACCCCCTTATAAACAGCTGCCATTCCTTTAGGATGGCTTTCCACAAGATTTTGCAACGTGTCTGTCGGAATTTGTTCCATTCAACAA